GTTTAAAAACCAATCGAATTAAAAAAAAAAAAAAAAGAAGAAAAAAGTATAAGACACACAAACAATCTAATCAGTCGATGTCTCCCCGAGACCGTGTCAGGGATCGTTCTTTTTTTAAAAAACGAAACAAAACAAAAAAAAAGAAGAAGAAGAAGAAGAAGAAAAAGAGTTTGGAAACTAAAAGGTAAAATTCGAATCCTTAATTTTAAACGCGTTTGCCGGTGTATCCTTTCCTTTCTTTTTTTTTCTTCTAAATTATACAAAAAAAATCAGCCTTCTCGAGAAAAAAAGAAAAACGTAAATCGCGTTAGTTTCGTTTCCGTCACAGCGCCAGGAAATAATCGTCATCGTTCTCTCGTTCGTGGCCCGAGCTCTCGCCCGCCCGGATCGATCGCGTCCGATCAAAGCAAAGAGGAAAACACGAAGAGCACGAAGCATCGGTTCGAACGTTTTGTCAAGCGTGTCCGAAACGGAAGAACTGGAAATGCTTGCTTGCTTTGCTTGTTCGCTTCGTTGACACGCGCACGGTTCTTCTCGGTCCGGAAGGTGCCCGCGGAACCGCGGCCGTGCGCCATGGATCCGACGGGCTCCCGTGACCGCAATTATGCGAATATAATCGTGTTCGCCAGGGCCTGGCGCGCTATCAAAAACCGAACGCCGACCTGTGTTGCGTCGCGATCAGAAACGGAAATGAAGGAAGCTACGCGCGACGCGAGCCGCGCCGTCTCGCGATTAATCAGCGGAGCCATAACCAACGTCCAGTCCAGCACGGATTTGCCCACTCCATACAATTCTAAAACGTCTATACCAAAATTCGCACACGACGACATAATCGTTCTCCTCTGTGGATTCGCACGTCAGAGGTACACGTTACCTTACATTATCGATATTTAATATTTACACGCACGTGATATTTAGAATGCAAATAAAAATAGATAGTTTAAAATATCTTCTCTCTCTCTCTCTTTCGCTCTCGCATTCGCACACTCTCTCTCTCTCTCTTTCTTTTTCTCTCCCTCTCTTTTTACCGACTTTCTCTCCCGTCTCTCCACGTTTAGAGCTCCCTACTTTTGTTTCCTCCTTGTGATAGCATACGAGACAAAAATCCATGCATTAGAGTTCAGAAAAAAGTTCTTCGATAATATTTCGTACAATAATGTTTCGCTTTAAATCCTAGAACGATTAGTAGCAATAGTAATAATGTTGGTAATATTCGTTTCTCGAAAGAAGATGCGACGCGCCGCCCTAACTACATTTTTTCCATTTTTCTTCTGCTTCTCCTTCACCTTCACTTTCTTGTTTCTTTATCTCTTTCTCTCTCTATCTTTCTCTCACTTTTCTTCTCTTCCCGTGTAAATAGTAAAAGACCTAAAATTCCTTGTTTCGAAGACGTTGGCACATTGGAATAGATTCTGTGTCTCTCTGTGTGTGTATGTGTGTGTGCGCGCGTTTGTGTGTACGTGTCCCCGTCGATTCACGATCGTTTCTTTCGAATTTGCTCGCATTCGAACACCGTGCGCGACGATGTTGCAAATGGGTCGAATACCCTGAAGAGATATGTTTTATTATTGGTCGGGCACACCGTGGCGAAATATTCTCCCTTCTCCCCCCCTGCCCTCCCCCGTCGACCCCGGGGCGACCGTCGACCGCGAAAAGCTCGCCGGGAAAGCTCGCTTTGGTCTCGCTTAAAACGACGAAAATAGAGAACAAGAAAAGGAACAAAAAAAATAATAGAAAAACTAATAGAAAACGAACGCGAAACAAATAAAATCTAATCGCAACAACAGTCAAATCCACTTTGGTATCGTACCGATTTTCCTCGATTTTTCTCCCGGGCTGTTTCCCGGCGGGATTTCCCATTTTCCCCGCAGTCTAATTGATTTCGTGATCGAGGGTCGTCCAGGATCGATCATCGGGATCGCCCCGGCGTCCGAGCCAATTTTCTCGGCGTAAAGGAGACTCGTCTCTCGGCTTTCTCGTTTACTTCTTCCTCTCCCCGTTCTACTCCACTCCGCCCCCTTTCCCCAGTATCTCCGCCTGCTTCCCCCTTTTTTTGTTACTTTTACAATTAACTTACACAACACCGAACATCGATCTAATTCCGTATACTTTTTTTCTGGTTTCTCCATATATCTCTAATATTCTCGTTCTAGTATACCCAACTGAAGGACATCACAGAATTTCCCGATATTCAATTAACCAATTAATTACTTTTCCACCCAACCCCCTCCCCCACGCGATTCTGCGCACACGCCGGCAATCATAATGTGGAACGTTTCTCTTCCGACTACTCTTCGATACTCCTCTCCTCTCTCTTTCTCTCTCTCTCTCTTTCTCTCTTTTTCTTTTCTTCTTTCTTTTTCTCTTTCGATATTTTTCCCGCTCCCGCCCCTCCCCAGTTTCATTTTTGCAGCGCCGAATATATATTCATACTTTGATGCTCGTTCGCGTCAGTATATCACAGAATTATTAAAAGGTTTCCAAAATGACTAGTTTAATTTTCACTAACGAATTCTATCTTCAAGCCTTTCCCTTTGTCGAAAAGAAATTTTTTCGGAAAGCAAAGATGTCCACGCGCAAAGTGCCCACCCCCATTGTTTTCCCTTTCTCCACATTATGCTTTGTCCGGCCGCGGAAAAACGTTTCTTCCTCTTCCTCTCACACTCTCACGCTCTCTTTCTCTCTCGCTTTTTCTCTCTCTCTTTCGCTTTCTTTCTCTCTCTTTCCATTTATTTCTACGAATGTATACGTAATATGTTAAAAACTCCCGCCATCGGAAGACACCTAAATCTAAAATCGTATAATTTCTCATTCACGGTATACCTCTCGTTCTCGCGAAGATATGTTTTTGGAAAACTCGTCCGGCCCCCTCCGCCGTCCCCCCCGGATCGCCCGCGCCCCCTCGAAAACCCCGTGCCGCCGACCTCGAGACCCGAGAAAATACGCGCACGACTGATCACGTCCCCCCGCCGCCCCCCGTCTCTAGCTCGTTAGCTCGTTAAATACTTTTCTCCGACCCCCATTTTTTTTCTCGCGACTACGGAACCTAAGAATTAGACGTAGACGTAATTTGTTTCGCTCGTACTCCCCCGCAAATAATTTGTACTTGATCGTTATTTAATAATGGCGTTTGTTTCCTTTCCTCTCTACCGATCTCTTCCCCGTTCTCTCTCTATCTTTCTCTATCCCTCTCTCCCTATCTCTATTTTTCCCTCTCTTTCCCCTTCTCCCGTGTGTGTAATGTGTGTACGCGTGTTGCAACTTTACAACCCCCTCGCGATAAAGTATCTTTCTCTTTACACTGAGCTCTAAACCTGAAATACGTTGCGCGACGAACAACTTTGTAGGGCCTGTCCCCCCTTCCCCCTCCTGTCCCGTCTTTCTTACTTTTTTGCTACCTCGCACGTTCGCTCAAGCATATGGATGCGTCGAAGATTCGCAAGGGCGGGACACAGCCGGCGACAATCGTTCCCCGATTCGACGGCGATCGGTACCGGGCGACCGCGCTTCTTTGGCCTGATCGAACGAAAACAGTCGGAAAAATTTACCCCTTACTCGTAATATTGCACATTCGCCAATGAGACGCGTCAATCAACGCGTTCCCCGCCGTCCCGGCGGCGCCGCGCGCGTTTCACCCCGCCGCGAACGATCGTCGTCGGACCCCTCGTAATCGATCGAACCGCGCGCACAAACGAATTTTCCCGATCCGCGAAACATTCCGGGACGTCGGAACGGCCGAAATATCGGCGCGGCGGGGAACGCGTTGAAAATCCCCTTCCTCATTTCGCGCGCTTCGTCCCGCTCGGTCCGAGGCTGAGCCGAATTTTGGAGACACCGATGGGACCGCCGTTGTCCCACCCCCGCCGTGGTCAAATCTAAGTCGAGCTACGCTTCTTCGTAATCGTTTCTCTTTCGTTTTCTTCCCCCCGCCCCCTCCCCATCCACACACGCTTCCCACCCCGTTCTCGTTTCACCCCCACTTATAAAACCTGAACAAGAGAATATCATCGTTATCAATTATATCGTACGAATATAATATATATAATATTTATATATATATATTTACAGCTCAAAATATTACTTTTAAAGAGTTAAAAATATAGTCTGTGTAATTTGCGCGCACGACGGACCTGTACACGTGTAAGAGCCCCCAATTTTTTTACTTCTACTTGCACTTTTCTACGCGCCCCCCTCTACTCCGCCATCATAATTCCCCGCCGTGTTTCGCCCCCGACGCTGTTACCCCGCGAGCTACGCTACTTTCTGGCCCGTTACGCCACCACGGACACACCCCGCGTCCTCTCCCACCAACCCCCTCCGGCAACCTCGTCCTCACCCTCTACCCGCTCCCGGTTCCCGAAATTTGAGCACATGTTCGCATTGGTAATTGAATTTCACTTAGGCCTAAGGTTCTCCGATTCCCCGCCGAGCTGGCAAGACCGCCGACGATCGACGGCTCGACGACGTTATCCGATCGCCGATCTATCCTCCGTCGATCTATCCTCCGTCGATCTATCCTCCATCGATCTATCCTCCATCGATCTATCCAACGTCGATCGTCTTCCCAGCTCGGCGCGGCGCACCATCCCCCGTTCGCGCTGTCTCGCGACAGCACTGCCAATCACATTTTCATCCCTCTCTCTCTCTCTCTCGCTTTCTCTCTCTTTCTCTCTCTCTCCCATCGCGAAACCCTTCCTCCTCTCAAACGGACCTCGTCGACGCTCGCGTCCTCAGGACAGAATTGACATGATTCGTGGGACCGGTCGGGGCACGATCGACACCTTGGCAAGACTCGATCAATCGGCGTATCTCGAACGCTGCCCCCGCTCTCCCCGCGGGAAACGATCTATCCGCGGAGAACGACGCGACATCGTTCTCGCCCGGCGACCGATTTCCCCGCAGAAAACCTCGATTAAGCCAGTGGAATGTATTCGCAGGCTCGTTCCCGAGCCCTCGATCCGCGATATTCAGTCTCGAAGCCGCGCCCCCGTCCGCGCCGCGACCCCCCTCGGGATGATCCCGATCGGGACGGGAACGCGGCTCGGAGGTGTGTGCCGCGTCTCAGTCGATTCTCTCGTGGTTTCTTTGGATTGATCGCAGTCTTGGCTCGAGGGGGCCGCGCGGCGCGAACGAAGCTCCGGCGGCGCGTTAGATCGTGGTTCTCGAAGAGGCGGCGGGTTGTTCTGGGGGTGCGGGGAGAGAGCCTGCCGGGTTACGAGACCGGCGCTCGTTGTCGCGTTGTCGACGATCGACGCGATCGTGGCTCGCTCGATGGTGGACGCGCGACGATCGTTGACGACGATGCGGATGGCGGTGGTGAGCTGCGAAGAACCGGATGACGAAGGCGACGGGCGGGCGCCGTTGATGACGCGGTGGACGCGGCCGGCTGATTCCGGGAGCCCGGGACGGGGTCACTGTAAGACGGTTCCGAAATTTTCATTGCGGCTGCTGCTGCATCTGGGCCTTGAGCAGCTTCTTCAGCCTGCCCGAGTAGCCGCGGTGCTGTATGCTCTTGTGCGTCGTGAGCGAGTTCTTGGTGCTGTAGCTCCGGTTGCAGAACTCGCACACGTGCAGGGTGTCCGACTTCTTGTGCTTGTCCTGGAAATGACGCTTCAGGGAGTAGTAGCATGAGTAGTTGCGACGGCAGTACGGGCACTCCGGTGACTCGTTTATGCTGCCCGCCGTCGGCGTCGGCATCCGGTACATGGCAGAGGGAGGCGTCGACGGTGCTGGATGCATCCCGTTGCCCGTACCTGAAAACCGTCCGTATATTCGTCAGATTTCATCGCCGATAAGAACCGCTCGATCTCCGCGCCCGAGAACAGTCCCGTCGTTTCGCGACGTGATTTATCCGCGTTTTCTCCAGCCGCGAGTCTGATCGTCCTATTCATGGTCTTTCGTTGAAATCGCCGACCTTCGGAATCACGTTCCATCGGTCGGGATTTCGCGCGATTTTTAACGGACAGCTCGGAACGTTAACGATCACGGTCGATCGGTTGGACACATTTTCAGCCAATTTTTCAAGATTTATAAACTGATATTAGTAAAAAGTATTATGATATTATAAAAATACTAATATTGTATAATAAAATACTGATATTATAAGAAGATAATTTATTTAGCCATTCGTTGTACTAGTCGAAGTGAATCGTTATTCGTGAAATCAGAAAACAAAGGTTTAGAATGGCTCGACAGAAAAATGAAGAATTCCTTGAAAACCGCATTTCCTCGAATTCGTACAATGAATCTAGATATATAAAAACTATAACAACGAAATTATATTAAGTAATACTGTAAACTATATCAAGTAAATACCGTGTAAAAAAATCGCATTGTACGATCGAACAAAAATTGACTAACCAACCACAAATTCAACTTAAGATACCTATTTATTCCCTTATCGAAAAAATGGCTGTTCACCCGCGTATTCCATCGAATCGACTTAAATTCGTCAGAGAATCGTCAACGTCTTCCGTTCGGCTAGCTCGAGAGACTGTTCTCGCGGGAAGATGACAGATCGTTTCGGAAGGAAAAAAAAAGGGGGGTGTCCGAATTTCGCAAGTCGTTGGAACAACCGCTAGATTCGTCTCGATCTCTCCCACGATCGAGGCTGATATCGGGGGGCAGCTCGCCGGCCTGGAAGAGCGACCTCGGCTTCCACCAACCCTGCACTCTTCGGGATCGTTCGAAGACCGCGTGCGTCAGGCTTCGACGCCGCTAGATCGATCGGTGCGTCGGAGCGTGTCGGATTGGATCGCGAGCGATCCTCATGCGACTGGACAGGTAGTATATGTCGTTAATCGGGCCGAGAGAGTCTTGTAATTATTAGTCGAGCGAGTAGAGATGAAGAGGACCAAAACCACCATGCCAGACCGCGCGTAGTCGCGACTGTTCCGGTCCGGTTCCCGGACGTTCCGGCCGCGGGATCATCGATCGAGGAAACAGTTAACCGGAAGCAGCCGGCAGCCGAACGACGGTTCTTCGTGTCGTGGAAAGAGCGGCGTCTCGAGCAGGTCGATCCGCGCATGCAAGAACCGTCCTTCGGGCCGGATAGTGTGCAGATAGGCGCGACGACAGGCTGCAAACCGCGGCGGTGCGCCCCGTCGAGAAACGCGTATCGGCGAGCGCGCCGATTCCGTTTTCCGAGCGTGAAGCAGCGTGCAGCGGAGAAAAGGGAATTGCAGTCATGCCACGGTAAGAGGCCGGTAGCCCCGCCGGTGCAGGCTCGAGCCGCGACAATTGTACAACGCAAGAAGCAGCGACGATGCGACGCGCGACCGTACACGTTCGTGCACCGCGGAAAGAGGATCGTGTCCCGGATCGAAGCCGCGGCTGACAAGCGACGATACACATGAGCATGCACACAACATCGAACATCGAGAAGCGTAAACGACAGTGAGTACCGGGAAACGTGGAACGAGAAACGAGAAAGAATATATAATCGGACGACGGGGGAGAAAAGCGTGGGAGGACGACAGGCGGGCGGGGGATCGTGCGTGCGAGGCTGCCAAAACTGATCTGGAAACGAAAAGAAACAAAGAAACAGAAACAGAAACGGAAAAGAAGAGTCGGTGGGCTGTGTTAGTGGGAGGAAGAGGGGGAGGGAGGGACATCGAAGCGTGAGAATCGTGTGCGGAACCGTGTGCCCCGCGATCGTCGCGATCGAGGCCGCTCCCTGCTCGACGGTCGATCGGCGTCGTCGACGGGGGATTCGCGGGGGTATCCCGGGGATCCAGAGATTCCGCGGGGTCCCGTGTCCGCCGACAAGGGAGCAGGGGAGTGGCATAACGGAGCCGCGAGTACCGGAAGTGCTCGATCGGCGACCGTACGGTACCGGCACGAGCGAAGGACGACCGGAGGAGAGGAGGGAAAAGCGGTTCCGCGGGTGGTGGAGCACGGTGGAATGAACTTGAGAACGGTGGAACGAAAGCTCCGTGTGTGCCGCGAGAGAGCATCGGTGGAAGAAGAAGAAGAAGAAGAAGAAGTAGAAGCAAGAAGTAGAAGAAGAAGAAGTGGAAGAAGAAGAAGCAGAAGAACAAGAAGAAGAAGAACAGGAGGAGCAAAGGGTCGTGAACACGTGGGAGTCGGCGGGACCGGTTTCTCTGGCATGCACACTCTTCTTGGGGGGACGGTGGAGGAGGAGGAACAGGAACAGGGGGAATACCGGAAAGCGGAAGAGGGAGGGCACCGTTGACGAGGAAGCCGAGGTCGTTGCGAGGCAACGATTATGCGATCGCGACCTCCGCGAGCGTTCCAACGACGAGCTCTCGAGTTTTTCCGCGGCAGCGAGCCGCGGTTGAAAAGGAGCAGGGTGTCAACACAGAGAGAAGAGAGAATATCGATATAAATACGTACAAGTATATAAGAATGTGAATATGTGAATATGTGTGTGTGTGTGCGTGTGCGCGTGTGCGTATGTTTTGCGTGTGTAGGAGGGAAGCATCGGTAATATTAGATCGAGAGAAGTAGTGTTAAAAAATCGCGCGAGAGAATGGTACAGGCGGTGGAGAGACACGCGCACCCGTGTGTGGTACATTCTGGTCGAGTTTTTTTTTATAGAGAGGTGATGATTGAGTTATTTTTTCTTTTTTTTTTTGAGTTCTGTCAGAGAAAGGATTTTGTTGCGTGTTGCCCTACCTTATCTAAACCTTCAAAAGAACTTAATGTCAATGTCGCCGGGTCTGCTCTTATGATAGGTATATATATGGGTCATCAGGGAGTTACGGGAGCAGTATATCCGCTCGCAGATGACGCATCTGTACTCCTCCTGTCGCGCGGCGTGCTTGTCGGCAACGTGGCGTTTCAAGGATGCTTTGCTGCACAGCTCCTTGTGGCACAGCTGGCAGCGGAACAGCTTCTTCGCTGACTGGGTGTTCAGGGAGTTCAAGGTCAGCCCCGTCATAGAGGTGAGCACTGAAACACAACAATGCACCTCGTGCAGCTGCAACCCCCACACTTCTTTATACCCTAGCCCTAGTATCAAAGGGTGACGCAAGCGATAAACTCTTTCTTTTTATAATTCGAGCCCTCTCTCTCTCTCTCTCTCTCTCTCTCCCTCTCTCTCTCTCTCTCTCAGCATCCACTTCTCACAATCTCTCCTCGCCTTCCTCTCCCTCCCTTTCGCTCCATCTACGTTCGCAACGTTTGATACACGAAACACGCGCGTCAGACCGATGTATTTCAGCGTGGTGTCTACCGCAACGGGGGCTCGAGATCGCGAAAGTAAAATTAGAAGGCGATTCGACGATGCACAAGGTATTTATAATACTTCACAGGCCGTCCGGTCGGAGGCGATTGCATTTCGATCGCGCGCGCCCCGCGAGCGAGTTAACCTTCGGACGGCGGACATTTCTCAGCATTCGTGCGTGGCAGCCACGGAATCACTCGAATCATCATCAATTCTCGTTCGTATGTTATCAAAACATTTTCGTTCGAAGTTAACCCTTTGCACTCGGAGCCATTTTAACCGTGAATCGAAAATAATTTTGCTCGCTTATAGTATTCCCATTTTACACGACAAAGTGCATTTTATGCATAGAAAATTGAGTCTTGCGGCGACTCGTACAACAGTTACGCTTTCAACAATTTTTCAATCGAACTTTGTTAATATAACAATCATCTTGGAAAGTGATATATCAATTTCAGTGGTGCCTCGGGGTCACCGCTCGAGTGCAAAGGGTCAATCCTTTTGTTATATTTAATAGAAAAGCTATATTCAAAATATATTTAGTAGAAAAATCCTTTTGTTAGTACAACTATAATTTAGTTATTTAGTTAATCGTGATTAGTACAATTGTCAATATTATAAATATAACAGTTAACATTACACAAAACTGCCACAAAATTTAGGTAGAACGTTTGCACCTCTAGATCCAAATTTAACCAGCACCCGCCATCCGATGGTCAATCATTCCAACACCGAAGCGACCTCGATGCTTCTCCCCGGCCGTGGACACCCCTAGCCTCGGAACACCCCGGCCTAACCGACGCGGCTCGTCCGCGAAACGTTGCGAAACCACTCGTCCGAGTATTATAGTCTGTTTCGCTGGTATTCCCGCGGTCCTCGCGACAAGTCGACACACAACAGGTAGCAGGTCCGAAAGGAGGCACCAGCACGCCGTCATCCCTAGCGACTCCTCCCTGCAGAAGGGAACAACGACAACAACCCGCTCGCTCCGGATCCTTTTCTTCTCGCTGAGAAACTTCCGACTCGCAGACGTTGCTCCTCGCCCCTGCCCCCCTGGCCGCGGCCCATTCGTTAAGGTTTATGTCAAGGGGTTCCGGCCGAGACACGCGCGAGGGTTGCTCTCTCTTTCTCTCCCCGTCGCGCGTTTTCATCGAAGCCCCCGGTCGCGCGATCGAAAGCGTTCCTGCCCGCCCCTCCCGTTCCCCGCGCGACAAAATCGGCNTCCCTCTCTCTCTCTCTCTCTCAGCATCCACTTCTCACAATCTCTCCTCGCCTTCCTCTCCCTCCCTTTCGCTCCATCTACGTTCGCAACGTTTGATACACGAAACACGCGCGTCAGACCGATGTATTTCAGCGTGGTGTCTACCGCAACGGGGGCTCGAGATCGCGAAAGTAAAATTAGAAGGCGATTCGACGATGCACAAGGTATTTATAATACTTCACAGGCCGTCCGGTCGGAGGCGATTGCATTTCGATCGCGCGCGCCCCGCGAGCGAGTTAACCTTCGGACGGCGGACATTTCTCAGCATTCGTGCGTGGCAGCCACGGAATCACTCGAATCATCATCAATTCTCGTTCGTATGTTATCAAAACATTTTCGTTCGAAGTTAACCCTTTGCACTCGGAGCCATTTTAACCGTGAATCGAAAATAATTTTGCTCGCTTATAGTATTCCCATTTTACACGACAAAGTGCATTTTATGCATAGAAAATTGAGTCTTGCGGCGACTCGTACAACAGTTACGCTTTCAACAATTTTTCAATCGAACTTTGTTAATATAACAATCATCTTGGAAAGTGATATATCAATTTCAGTGGTGCCTCGGGGTCACCGCTCGAGTGCAAAGGGTCAATCCTTTTGTTATATTTAATAGAAAAGCTATATTCAAAATATATTTAGTAGAAAAATCCTTTTGTTAGTACAACTATAATTTAGTTATTTAGTTAATCGTGATTAGTACAATTGTCAATATTATAAATATAACAGTTAACATTACACAAAACTGCCACAAAATTTAGGTAGAACGTTTGCACCTCTAGATCCAAATTTAACCAGCACCCGCCATCCGATGGTCAATCATTCCAACACCGAAGCGACCTCGATGCTTCTCCCCGGCCGTGGACACCCCTAGCCTCGGAACACCCCGGCCTAACCGACGCGGCTCGTCCGCGAAACGTTGCGAAACCACTCGTCCGAGTATTATAGTCTGTTTCGCTGGTATTCCCGCGGTCCTCGCGACAAGTCGACACACAACAGGTAGCAGGTCCGAAAGGAGGCACCAGCACGCCGTCATCCCTAGCGACTCCTCCCTGCAGAAGGGAACAACGACAACAACCCGCTCGCTCCGGATCCTTTTCTTCTCGCTGAGAAACTTCCGACTCGCAGACGTTGCTCCTCGCCCCTGCCCCCCTGGCCGCGGCCCATTCGTTAAGGTTTATGTCAAGGGGTTCCGGCCGAGACACGCGCGAGGGTTGCTCTCTCTTTCTCTCCCCGTCGCGCGTTTTCATCGAAGCCCCCGGTCGCGCGATCGAAAGCGTTCCTGCCCGCCCCTCCCGTTCCCCGCGCGACAAAATCGGCGCGATCCACGGTGCCGCGTTCCTTTTAAACGGAGGCGAACATACATTCGCGGGGAAACAAAACCGGGTGAAAGGCGAAACGGCGGAGCGCGGTCTTGCTTTCCGCGCACGTTCGATATGGCGTCTTCTCCCGAGACCGCCCACCGGTGGAAAACAGAAAAGGGAGCACGCCGGACAGAAAGAAGGGGGAGAGGGCTGTTCTCGCGTCCCGGCGGTGTGCGGCGCGTTCGAAACTCTTCGACGATCTCGGAGCACGGCTGCCTGCTGGTCGTCGCCATTCGGGGGAGCGAAGTAAGAACTTTCAATGCCAGTCTTTTCTTCGGACCGCGCGCTACCGAAAGGCCGGAGAAGGGTTCAAGACGCGCGTCGCGGCCCGTCGCGGCTGTTCGGGGTGCGGGGGGAGCAAGTGGAACAAGCGGAGCGGTTTCGCCGCGCCTCGCGCGTCTCGGCCGCGTCGCGGCGTGCTCGCGTGCTCATTGAAATCGTCGCCGTATGCAAACCGGATAAAGAGGGCTGGCCGAGAGAAAGGGCAGAAAAGGAGAAAGGGGCTGGAAAAAGAACGGAGGGCGAGCCGCGGACACGGGGGACGAGCCCGGGGTGCCTCAATAAGACGGCGAGGCGCGGCGAGGCGAGGGCGCGCGGTTCATTTGTGACGTCCTCGTTAATTTCACAATAAATTGAAAACTCGGCGCTACGGACGCCGCCGCCGCTTCTCCGCGTTCCCCATCGGCCACGCACGCGTCCCCGTAATCGAACGCGAATGGAGCCGGGCTTCCCATTCGCCCCGGAAAAAAGCTTTTTATCCAATTTTTTCATCGTGCTGCCCCCGTGTCTCGTTAAATCTCCGCCGAAAGGAACCGTGAAAGCGGCCAGCCTCTCCTCGCTGATGAGCAAGACCGATCCGCAGATCGTTTGGACACGTATTCGTTCCTCGAACAGACGCGCATACACACGTGCACGCACACTCACAGAAGCACATACCAACTCTCTCGCCAGCATTCGCGCACACTCTCGCAGAAAAAGGGAGACCGCTCGACGCGATCCGAGTGGTGCACCGGGGGGAGAGGGGGGGTGGAAAACGGGACAATACGGGAGCGCAGAGCAACGTCGGACTCTTTTTCACTTGAACCGTCGGGACGGCCGACGGACGGCGGTGGCGGGGGGAATTTGTACGAAATCAAAATAACAGTGAACCGAGATAAAAATCAACGGTAAATCAAAACGTATGTAATATAATGTAGAAGAGAAATAAAGGAGACGACGAGAAGGAAACACTGAGCATTCTGGGTGACACTTAAAGCATGCAGATTCGAGGTGAACGTAGTAGTAATTATGCGTGTGAGAGCCTGGCGAGCGGCGTGGCGGCTTAATCGTTCTCTCCTTTGTCTGTTTTTTTCCTCATCTTTTATTTATTTATTTTTTTTGTTTTGTTTTCCCGGCGCGTTTCGAATCGACGAAGATCGTCCCGCGCCATCTTCGAACATGGCCGTCGAGAGGATCCCGTGTGGTCCCATCGGTGTCCTCCTCTCACCGTGCGTCTCCTTCGTGCGGGGCGAAAAACGCGTTTTCCCCGCCGCGGCGGGAGAAGCGTCCGCCAAAACAAAACTTCCGGCCGACCTCTCGTCCGTTCTCTCCTGGGGGGGTTGAAACGTTCTTACTTCGGCCTCCGAGCGAGCTGGCTCGCATTCGAAGCGATCGGGTAACCGTGTATCCGCTGCGATTTTATTGAATGATCGCCGAGCCGGGGCCACGTGTCACCGTGTCATCGATCGGATCGACGTGCAACTTACCTTCCAGCTGAAAGAAACAAGCGTCACGCGACCTGTGCAAAACCGACTGTGTGCTCAACCTTCTCTCGCTTTCTCTCGTGCGCGCTCTCTCTCTCTCTCTCGCTCTCTCTTTCTCTTTCTCCCTCTTTCCGGGACCGTCGAGCACTTCTGCACCCAGAATATCTCG